AGCCTCCTCGGCGGGGGCTTCCCGGGAGGAGCGCCCCTCGGGCAGCCGCCTGGCCGGCGCTGCTCGGGGCGAGAAGGCAAACGCCGCTGGATGAAAACAGCGTGTAAACAAAGGGAGGGACCGTGTATGTGGGCTGAGGATAGCCTCATAATACTGACACCGTGGTTATTTAGATTTGCAAGCAGGAAACTGCATCTTTTAATCTTCCCCTGGTAAGGGTCTCCCTAGCAACAGCAGATTACATTTTCGTGGGGGAAGGGAGATTTGTGAGCTGATGTTGCCTTTAAACTGTCACAGTTAAATATGTTCAGGGCATTTGAAAGAGTTTTGCCTTTACGTGCAGAGCTTTGAAGCTGTACAGGGTATGCTTTCAATTCTGAATGCAAGGCGACTCACAAAATGAAGTCTCATTAATGTGTTACAAGTTTCCAGCACTAATAGCGATGAATTACCCATGTGGGTAGTTAGAATTGGCCTTCTTACTGGTAATTCAGCACCCTCTTGGTTAAATATGGGGTAAAGGCTATAAAGGAAGGAGGTGAGAGTCACCTTGTATCTTGCCGCTTGGCCTTGGGAGTTTCAGAAGAGCTCAGGGACAAGCCCCCTCTCTACATTAGATGTACTTTTGTAAAAGTAATGTTTTAGACTCTGTGGATCACATTAACATCTGAAATCTACGTTCTTTGGTTTTGCAAAAGAAATACTTAATTTTCACAAAGCATCTACATGAGCCTGTTGCTAATTGTACATTAATTTTAAGGAAAATTGGATGGCTGAGTGAGAACTGGGTGTTCAGAAGATTAATGATTGTGGCTGAAGATTACAACATGTCTAAAGAAATGCAAGAGCTGCAGAAGCAATGGCACTTCGTGGTGCAGTCCATCCACAGCAACTCAAATGTGGGTCTGGATTACAACTTTATATAATATATTTATAAAGATACTCCTTTCATAACTCTCAGAATATCACACCCCAATTTATTTAAATGCCATTTCAAAAACTTTTTTTTTTTTTTTGAGAAAATTGGCACTCCCTTTTTTTAAGTGAACACTGAGGAGCCTATGGGAAGGGCTGTCCTCCCACGCCTTTGGCAATCAAGAAGAAGGGAAGCCTGTTCTGCATTTCTGTGTTTTACTGGTATAACCATTTGAGATAGTAGAGTGGCATTTTAGTGAAATAGTTTTGCTGCTATAAAAAGAACTAAAACTACAATACATATTTCCGTAAGGGAAGGGAAATGTCTCTACTAGAGTAAAATTCCAGTGTATAGGTATGACTGCCTCTGAAAAAAACCCTTTTTTTTCCTACCAGTAACATTGTAATTGAATTCCTTACCACTTTGTGAGACAGGTATGCCTGCACTGTGCTTACACTCAATAAATGAGCAGGTTGCAGATTTTACTGAGGCATGGAAAAGATAAAAATAATCATGATTTTAAAATGTTACAGTATTTTTTTTTTGTTAGCAAATACAGTTCTCTAGATCAAAATCATAGCTGTTGAGACCCCACTGAAAGCTGGGCAGCTAAATTGTGATTTGGGGTTTTTCTACTTGTTTTCGGGGGCTGGTGGGGGGGGTGTTGTTGTTTTTAATCAGCACAAGAATGTAAGTGGGAAGTCCAAGAGAAACATGTTTGCTGTTGGTAGAATTATATTTGCTATATAGTTATCTAAATTTGCAATAAGTCCTCATGCTTTTGAAATGGAGAGGCAACAGGTGCCCTCTGTTCAAGCTGCAAACTTGACCTTTAAAAGTTATCTATGATGAGATAAAAACAAAATCTGAAATGTTTTTCTTTCATCCACAGGTTGTTGCTTTTATGAATTCTCGTGTTGGCCAATATTTAGATGACCATCCTTTTGTTGCCTTATCACTCCTGATGTTTATTGCAGTGTCTGCTATTCCTGTTGCATTTTTCCTCATTTTTGTTGTTACAACAGCCATAATGGCCTGTATCGGTGTGATAGTTATGGAAGGTATTGTATGCATGCACGCTTGTACTCACTTAGTCCCTTTTAAGGCATGATGTCTTTTCCTTTTTTTTTTCTTCTTCCTTCTGGAGTTTCCAGTTCAAGCGATTGAGGATTTCTGTATGTAGTCCTCAGGTCTCAGCAGTAGTAAAACTCTTTAATACAAGAATGGTAATCTGATTAACTGCAGTCTCTACAGGAGAAGTCGTATTTCCCTTTCTAATCTCAGCCACCAGGATATAGCTAAACCAGTTATCTTGACCGTGCGTACCTTTTATAGCAGCTAGCTAGTTGATTGCAGACTTTTTTCCCAAATGGATTGAATTTGGGGTTGTGGTAGAATGTCAGCTTTTCTAATTTGCTTGTATATAAACTTGTTTAAATAACAACCTGATTTCCTTTTATTAGGTGTGGTAATAGCCATAGGTGGCATAGCCCTCCTTTGTGTGCTGTGTGGCCTGGGTGCGCTTTCACTGGGAGTTTCTGGAGTACTGAGTGTTGGTTATGTCATTCTTTCAAGTCTGGTCAACTACTGGTGTGCTTCAAGGTGAGTACTGATGTCTTGATTCATCAATATATATTTTAATGAGAGTTAATACATGCCCTCTTTCCTGTTTAGGAAAGAGGAAATGTAAATAGTCTCTAAATCTGCATGTGCTAACACAACACAACATCAAGCAATAAAACATAACTTTGTCTCACTCAGAATATTTGTGCTTTAAATGTCATTAACACACACTCCCAAATTGGACTTTGCCTAGAGGATGAACCTTTTGCAGTTCTTTAGGATGACCTAGCTATCTCTGCTTACCTTGCAGTTGTAGAGTAATGGACAAAAATTAGTTGTAGATTTGGGATAGTCAGAGGGGTACTTAAAAGGGACAGTGCAGGCAAGATTGATAGAAATTACTGGTTTTGCTGGATGCTGCACATGCGCTGCTTGCCAGTCATGTCTCCTGGTACTTCAGGCTTGGAGGCCTATTTCAGTCAGCATCACCGTAGCCGTGCTTTTACCAAGCATCTGGCTAGGAGCGAGAGGCACCAGCAGGTTGTGCTGGAGTGCCACCTATTGCCCGTTTAAATATATACCAGGGAATGAATAATGATAATTGCTTCTTAAGCGTAGGGAAGAGCAAGAAGAAAAGTTACAGCTGCTCCCTCCTAAACTTTCTCAGTTTGGTCCTTCAGCACAGCTGCGCTTCTTGCACAGCTCTCAAGGCCACACAAACTGTGGCCTGTGAGCCCATGATATTGTCAGGATGACAGGACCATGGTGCAAGGCCCAGCATGCTTGCATTTGTTCCAGGGCTCCGTACCACTCCTCCAGGGCATGCTGCTAGGTTCATAACATTGCCCACCAATTCCAGAATAGACTTATTTTTTTCCGTAGCATATCTGAATACACAACCCAGCCCACAGACCAGTCATATTGACTTACAGCTTTGATGTTAAAACAGATAACATTTGCTCTTTTTATGTTCCTGTGTCTTTTGAGAGCTCGGGTAGACCAGTTGTGGATGTTCCAGGAGTCTCAGACAGGTTTACATCTCCCATTGTTCAGCTTTTTTTGAGTAAAAAGTTAAAAGACAATGATCTTACGGAAGAACAGACTGTAAAACTATTCTTTTCTCCTGTATACAGGGGTCAGATAAGAAAGCAAGAAGTTAATGGAAGTTTGCCACAGAAGAGTCCTGTCCTGGATCTTTCTGCCGATAATGGAAAGAATGAATAAGTGGGTTTCTCCTCACTGCCTTCATAGGCACTTAACTGTACTGCTCTGACCTTTGCAATGTAATTGTTTACTCGTTGAGCATTCAGCCTTTGTGCACTCCTTATGGGAACTGAAAAAATCAATATGCATCTTACATTGTCACTGTAAAACTAGCATTAAGAATAACCATTAAGCAGCAATGCATTGCGATACTGAGTCTATGTGCATGATGGAATGTTCCACAGAATTTGGTAAAGGGATGTAATAATAACAACTACTGTTAAGTCAATGACAGTTAGGTGAAAGAAAGGGTAGATAGCTATTTGACTTCCCATCTGTTACTGGAGTTCTGATGTACTATCTTTTGAAATTTGTATGCAGCAGTTGGTCATTTTGATACATAAGTGTCAAAGTTCAGAACACTAGAAATGTTTTGAATGTTAAAAAATTTTTAAGCCTTAACAGCCTTTGTTAAAATAAGCACACCATGCTAATGTTTTTTATTTATTATAAGAAGAAAATTGGGTTTTGTCTTATGTTATGGTATAAGCTTTTATATACCTTTAGATGTTGCATTATTCTGAAGGGATATTTTCCTTGTTCACATTGCCTCATCACATCAATAGTATGCAATTAGGTCTTGCATTTTGTCATATTTGTTTAGGTATTTAAATTGCCTGGTTTGCTTCTCAGTTGTGACTTCTTGTATGTTATTTAAACTTTTTTTCATTTTTGCAAATGCTATATTTCTAAGTATTAAGAAACTATCTAACTACATTAGTTTATTAAAGTGCTGTTTAACCAGGTTGTCTTGTTATTCTGTTTATTCTACAGTAAAAACAAGTTTTCCAGATCTGCTTCCAAGAAGGCTATATTTGGAGCTGAATTTTTCTCCTCAGTTAATATTAAAGTATATAGCTGGCCAGTACTACTGAGCCACAAACTGCAGACAGCTTGTACTACATGAGATTACTCCCCTTCTCATACATGTAAAGGACATAGAGAATCCTAAGGACTAGATTAGTGTAATAGTCCAGTTTTATATGAACCAATATGTTGTTTGAATCCACACAGACTCAAAGTTTATCTGAGCCATAATGTGCGCCACACAGTACCAGTGGTAACATTTTCAGCTGTAGTGATAAGCTGGCCCCACACTTCAGCAGTAGAGTGAAACCATCCTTAGCCCTACTCTGTGGTACTGTCTGCAGGAGACAGATAGGACCTGATGCCAGTTCATAAGGCCTTTAGTATTTACTAAATTCCAGTTAAACATGAAGGGTTTATAGAATGGAGACCATAAAAGATTTATTTCTTAATTTACTAAGTAGATAAAATGGCTTTTTTTCAGGTGCTTCAAGGTTTTATCCCAACCAGAATTTTTTTTTTTTAACTTCCAGTTGATGGTAGTATACAAGCAGTAGGAGGAAAAAAAAAACCAGGAAAAGTATTCTTCTCTGCTTTCCTTGTAAGAAAAGCTAGTGTTGTGATACACTTTATGTGACATACAGCCTGGAGAAATCCATGTAAAAGATAGAACAAAGATTTAACATTAGTATATGTACATGGCTTTTTTACATTGCTGTTATCCCCACTTTAGTATCAAATCTGCAGCTGCTGTCAATTACAGTAGAGCACTGCCAGTTTACAGCAGGTGAGGATCAGTGGCAGGGAAAAAATAGAATGCAGTTCTTAATTGTGTGGTGCTGCCCAGTGGTGCACATCACAGCTGTAGGTAATACAACCTAAAAACAAATGCCCCAGTGCATTCACTGGGCTGCAAAAAACTGGAAGAGATTGGTGTTTGCAAATGAAGAGACTCCAACTAGGTTGTATGCTGGCAGTGCTAAGGTGAATGAGGCAGTTTTTGACAGCTGGTAAATAGAATATATTACCCCTTGTGCAAATGGACTGGTGCCTGCTTTTAAGAGCTGTGAAGTACTGAAACCCACTGTTTCCAAGTACTAGAAATCCTTATGGCTAGCAAAAAGTAAGCCTTCAAATTGCATTCTAGTCATTACAGAATCCTTCCTGCCTTTCACCAGACTATTGGTCCCTCATCACCAGGATACAGTTTGAGTCTAGCTTTACTTTCTAAGTATTACTTTTCCTAGACAGTAATGCCTTCAATCTAGGAGTTTACTGGCTGTTAAGAGCAGAATAATGGTTATGAGGGAAATAAGGCAGAGATTAGTATGACTTGATAATAACACAGTCACCACCTCATTTATTTAAGGTTTCAAGTGTTTTGCCTGTTTTACATACTGAGCTGCTGTAATTTGAAACATACCTTGAAAATAAATCCCTTGTTTATCTCCTCTTCTATCAGCCTACATAAAATGAAACATATATAACTTTATTACTGTACTTGAGACCTCAAAACAAATTGAAATGGAGAAAGCACTTCACAGGAGGAAAGTAATGATGCTGTTTATCATCTGCACTGCAACTTATCAGGCATAGCCAGAAAATATGAGATTTCCATATACTTAACACAGCTTGTGCCTTTCGACTTTAGGATGATCTCGCTTCAGAATCTAAAGAGAGTAACCCCAATCTAAGCTTGCAAATCTTGCTGCAAACTTGACTTTAGGTTAAGATGATTCTTTGCAGAATTGTATTGAGATATTTATACTCAATTAGACCCTAAAAGAAAAATATGCTCTCAGTGCTGACTCCCCATCATTTTATTCAGGGGATTTTAATTACTTCCAGGCCCCATTTGCCTCTCCAGAGCACAAGTTCATTGCTTAGTCCATCAGTGGATCCTGATTCACTGCCTTCAGCACTAAAATGAAATTCTGCTCTCCCTACAAGCGTATTTCCAGCACTCTGCTGCCAGCCTGGTGACAGGCGCTGCCTCATTACATCTTGGTGTCACTTTTGCCTGATGGAAGTACAGGGAGTGGAAGAGCTGCTTTTAACCTGCATTAACAGCCTCTGCTGATGCTTAGAGCAGTGGCTTTCTGAGCAGCCCCACAGATCTCCAAGGAATCGGCAACCTTTATTCTTTCGACATGAAAAACTAACATCTTCAAGCTGCTGATGCAGACCAATTTTTACTTGACTTTAGGTTAAGATGATTCTTTGCAGAATTGTATTGAGATATTTATACTCAATTAGACCCTAAAAGAAAAATACGCTCTCAGTGCTGACTCCCCATCATTTTATTCAGGGGATTTTAATTACTTCCAGGCCCCATTTGCCTCTCCAGAGCACAAGTTCATTGCTTAGTCCATCAGTGGATCCTGATTCACTGCCTTCAGCACTAAAATGAAATTCTGCTCTCCCTACAAGCGTATTTCCAGCACTCTGCTGCCAGCCTGGTGACAGGCGCTGCCTCATTACATCTTGGTGTCACTTTTGCCTGATGGAAGTACAGGGAGTGGAAGAGCTGCTTTTAACCTGCATTAACAGCCTCTGCTGATGCTTAGAGCAGTGGCTTTCTGAGCAGCCCCACAGATCTCCAAGGAATCGGCAACCTTTATTCTTTCGACATGAAAAACTAACATCTTCAAGCTGCTGATGCAGACCAATTTTTCCCGAAGGATGGATTTTAAAACAAATCACACTGAGAGCTTGAACAGCTGCATCCCCAACAGCTCCAAGGCTGTTCAAAACTTTTCTGTACCTGGTAAGTGCAATAAACAGGTAAGTGAAAATATACTACATATATATATAATAGATATAGGCAGGGAGAAAGAAAAAAATTCGCTTATGAGATGGTTTTGAGGAAAACCTGAATATGAGTATTAATATCCATACAGTTGAGCAACATATATATCAGGTATGAATATATCTATTGAAACATATTCATTATATATGTATGCATTTGCAAGGGTCTCCATGCACCTATATAGAACGATATACACACTGGTGCTCTTTCATTCTATTGTTAATGTGTTTGTGTTCATACATAATGAAGGGAAGAGTGGGTGTACGCACATTTGATTAGACACAGGTTTTGATGTATACATTTGTGGAAGCTGCTGAGAAAGTGCCTGTGTGTGGTTAGACACAACCACACACAAAAAGCCCTTCCTCATCTTACACATGCCTAAGCAATCTGCTATTGCTTGCGTTCAGAGTGCTCGTTGTCTGTTAGAAGCCAGAATATCCACAAGGCATGTCCTCACCAGTGGTCCTGGCACAGCTGACTTTTTCCTGCCTACACTTGTCTCTGCAGGTGACCCCAGCAGGATGAGCTATGGCAGCTTCATCATGCCCACCCTGTTTGGCATTATCTGCCTGTTGGGCATTATTGGTAACAGCCTAGTTATCTGCACAGTCATAAAGAAGTCTGGCCCTAGCAGTAGCGTTCCAGATATCTTCATCATCAGCCTCTCCATGGTAGACCTGCTCTTCCTCCTGGGCATGCCCTTCCTCATCCACCAGCTGCTGGGGAATGGAGCCTGGCGCTTTGGGGAGACTATGTGCACAATCATCACTGCCCTGGATGCCAACAGCCAGTTCACCAGCACCTACATCCTCACTGCTATGTCCATCGACCGCTACCTGGCCACCGTCTACCCCTTCACCTCCGCTCGCTTCAGGAAGCGACCTGTGGCAATCCTTGTCATCTGCATGCTCTGGGCCCTTTCCTTCCTCAGCATCACACCTGTGTGGATGTATGCTCAGCTCATCCCTTTGCCTGGAGGTCTATTAGGCTGTGGGATTTGTCTGCCAGACCCCCAGAGGGACATTTATTGGTACACTCTCTACCAATTCTTCCTGGTCTTTGCCATCCCTTTTGCCCTCATCACAGTGGCCTACAGGAGGATCCTGCTCAAGATGGCTAGGTCATCAGAAGCACTGATGAGCCAAAGATGCACCAGGACACGAACAAAAAAACTGACCCGTACAGCAATTGCTATTTGCATGGCTTTCTTCATTTGCTGGGCACCTTTCCACATCCTGCAACTGGCCCAGCTTGCCATGACTCACCCCACCCTGCCTTTCTACTACGCCTACAACGTGGCTATCAGCCTGGGTTATGCCAACAGTTGTCTGAACCCCTTCATCTACATCTTGCTGGGCCAAAATTTCCGGAGGCAGCTTGGGGTCCCTGTAAGGCCAGCAGCTGCAGGGCAGGCTTCCCCACATGGCAGCAAAAGCATTCAGGGGGATGCAACTGAGTCAGGGCAGCCGCTGCTGCATTTGGTGTCCATTTCTGGCAGGTAGCAAGACCTGCAGCAATTAGGGTGTGCCCCACAAGCCAGCCACTCTCCTTTCCCACCCAAACACACAGGCAGTGGCAGGCAGGTGAGCACCATGCATCACATCTCCTGCGGGATGGATCTTTACTGGCCTGGAGACAAAGTAGTGGCACAGCATTTGGGCAGAAGCTTTGTTTGGCCTCGTGTTCTTATTTACATCTTCCCTGACTGCTATGAATTATATGGTCCCCAGGAGAAAAGCTTTCAGACATATTGTTAAATTAATCCGCGCACTAAATATTTTGGTACAAAACCCCAGAGAAGCAGCAGCCCAGGGCCAAGCCACCACCACCATTTAAAACTTGGGGATTTTTCAAGTTTACTTCTTGCTTTAGGCTATAAGGAGGAGAGAAGGAATTTGCACTGGCCTAGATCAGTCCCCCAACATGGTTCAAGAGTGTAACACACTTTATGAAGACTTTAAAAAATAGGACAATCATGTTTTCATCTCCTAACACACCAGCTCCGTGACATCTTT